TATTGTCATTAACATGAAACTTTTGGGGAAGCTATAGGAACTTTTTCCTTTTTAAATTTACTCTTTATTCATTCCTATGTTTGAAAAAGAAGTCAACAGTAAATAAATAAATAAATAATAAAGTACCTTCAAGTTATATTACAAGAAAAGATTCTTCCTATCTGATTTTATATAAAGTGGCATCTAAAGCAAACTCTCTAAAAATGAGTGTCCACTTTCTCTAGTGTAAAAACATAAATGTATTGTGGCTGGCAGGATGATACAGATAAAATAGACAGGGTGCATTAAAAGAAATTAAGAGCCAAGAAATCAGATACGTTCAAATCAGCCTTCAAACCTACTCCAGCAGCAGGGATAAATAATTTAATAAACTCAACTTCATATTCTTTTTCTTTCTCTAACGCAATAAACAGATATTAAAAAAATAAAAGTTTACGTTCATTAATAGTTGTGTGTAGAATCACAACTATTATATAAGAAGAGATACAAAGAAATTTCAATATAAGCACTTAACGTATGTGCTTGTACATTCTAGCTAACCTATACTTTTTTTCCACATGAAAGAACGGTATTGCTGAAATTTATGATCTGGCAACTGAAATTTTCAAATTAGGTTTACTGAAACACAGAATCCCTGTATTCACACATTTTTCAACACAATTGGGCTTTTTGGCTAATAAGACTGCTTAAGCAATACATTTTGAAATGTCTAAATGTAAAATGCGTTTCCAGCAGATGTGGTAGTAGTGGGTAGACCTAAGTAATTAGGAAAACATACCTAGAAAACAGTAATTTGGGAAAACTTACCTCTCTTTATTTCATAGGCCTCCAACTCCTAACATCACAAATGATCAATCATCATTTTAATGAGATGATTTTAATCTCACTCTTCCAGTATAAATCATTATCTCTAAAAATGAAACTGAGTGACAGAAAAACCCACTCTATAGTTTTATAATTTACTAAAACCATTTTAAATTTAGGATTGCAAAGTGAACAAACTCAGATAAATGCTCAGAAAACATTCCTAAAATGAACAGATTTTACCATGCCAACAATTAAAGGGTTCATTCCTTCATTCATGGATAAAACTTTACAGTGGTGCAATGAAATTAATGGCAGGCTTTAGTAATAAACGCAACCTATGTAACATTCAATTTTATGTTTTTGCATATTTGCAATAATCACCAAAATGCAACTACTAAACATAATTATATAAATTGCTCACTTGCTTTTAGGTAAACCTTTATATTTTATTTTAAAACCTTTGATTCAGGAAAGATACAACCTTAATTTTTTAACAGATTGTACTAAATAATTAGCAAATTAGCACACTGGCTGAAAGTTCAAGAAATTATTTTGTTTTTAGAAATAGCAAAAATCTCTCTCTCGCTCTCTCTCAAATATAACTTTAATTTAACTGAATTAGTTGGCAGATGAACTAAATTAAATGGAAGGACTTTGGAGTATGTGTCATCTCCCCAGAAAGCGGCAGTTACCATGACAAGGATGGAGGAAAACACATGCCTTTGTCTGAAGTGTTTAACTTTCGGTTTTAAACAATGATGATGTCTAAACTCCACCAGAAGGATTTATTTTTTAATTGTGTGGAAACAGAGTCAAACAAAAACGAAGTCAATTATTTTTACATTTTCAATGTCTAAAAGATGTCACTGTGTCCCACGCCAGCCAGGATTAATATTTTGGGGCAGCTACTTAGTAACAGTGATAACAGATCTGCCTGTGTTCTTTTGTGCTGGTTATTGTCAGATCCAGATGCCCAATGGGGGAACGAGATGGAGTAAAAAACAATTCAGCAAGTTCATTTTTCTTACTAAGGAAATCGCCGGGAGCTGACTTCACTTTGTCGGAATAGGTCGACTTGGCCTACAAATTTCCCTGCAGCTTCGCACCGGGCTTTTTCCCCCTTAAGTACCAGAGACAGTTAAAGAGCACTCAAATGCACCAAAAAAAGCCTGCCTACGGTTTCACTTCGGACCCGCTCCCCCTCCGATTCAAGTCAGATTGGCCACTGTCCTCAACGGAGCTGGATTGGGCCTTTGGAAGCAATTAAGCAGAATGGAGCGTCTGGGAATCTCCCCCACCCCCAAGCATGTCTGTGCCTGTTCCCGCTGCAGCCTCTGTTCCCAAGAAGCTCTCCTGGGAACCGATGGGGGTTGACCTGAGCGAGGATGGGGTCCTCCATCCGTGCAGCCGGGTCCACCTGGCCACATGTGGATTGTATAGCCAATACACATGGGGGGTGGGGATTGCGGCACATGCACCGCTTGCATTACCCTTACTGTGCATAAAGACCTCAGGCTTCTTCGTAATAGCGGGGTGTTCTCTCTCCCACGCACACAGCTATGAGTTACATTGGCGCATTAAAGTTGAAACCCTACATATTAGTGACAGGTTTCAGAGTAGCAGCCGTGTTAGTCTGTATCCGCAAAAAGAACAGGAGTACTTGTGGCACCTTAGAGACTAACAAATTTGTTAGTCTCTAAGGTGCCACAAGTACTCCTGTTCTTTTTACATATTAGTGGAGGGGCTAGTAGCGCCGAGGGGAGAGGCGAATACACAACCACCGCCACCAGGATGCGAACGGGGGGAACTAAACATAATCGCAGCAGGAGGCAGCGATGATCAGAAAGCATCTTCTGCCCCCTGAATTAGGCCAGGGCATGTACCAGGGTGTGGGGAGGGCAGAGGGGCGACCGCGTGTGTGGAGACGAGGCGCGATACATTGGTTTGTGATGTGAGGGATGAACTGGGGGCAGCTGAACGACCCATTCCCTGGGCTGCAGTAGGCGGCAGCTCCGCTCCCGCCTCCTCCACTTGCAGAATGAGCTGCGCGCCCCCCTCCCAGGCCACAGAGCCGCAGCAGCGTCAGGCTCTCGGACCCGGGAGAGTGGCCTCTTGGGGATTTCTTATTTTCAAAGCGCAGTTGTTGAGAGAGCACCGGGGCAAAGCATTTTGCTCCCAAGCTATATGGCTAAAACTGGAAATAATACCCAGCCCGCTCAGCAGAGGGTCAGAGCCTGCCTGCTCACCAGCCCGGTTTTCGTCCCCTGGACATGACACTTTGGATGAAGTGAAGAAAGCTGAAGAATATGGAAAGTAGCTATCCCTTATAAAAATAGCAAGAACGTGCTGCGGGCACATTAGGATGCGGTTGAGAAGGGGAAAGCCACTTAAGGGTGAGCTGATGTCTGCTGGGATAGGAGTCTAAAGACAACCCCGGATTCATTTTATTCGTGCGTAGAAAGTTACAGACGCCCACCAAATTCTTCATCTGGATTAATAGTCCCCGAAATACAGGAGCGTCTGCACTAACGCTACATCGAGCAAGCAAAGCACAAAACAAACTCTTCTACACCTTTGATACAAACTTTGCCGCATTAATAGGTGAGTGACGGGAAAACGTTAATGGCACGTAAGACAACTCTCTGCAAGACGATAGATGTTTCTTAGAAAATAATTTCAAGGGCCAGTAAATTTAAAAATTAAGAATCTGAATAATAAATTACAATTTCTTAAAGACACTAGAGGAAAAAGCGTGTGCTATGAATATAAACCTTGTTTCTTCTTAAAGGAAAGCACGGAAGATGCTGCGAAATATGTTTGTCGTTCCAATATTTGCAAACAGGAGGACCGATTACTGAAACTTAAGATACTAAAGAAGAAATTTGTTTAATTATATATCACACATACGAAAACCCAAACTGGCAGATTACTTGTCTACCAGCATGTCTGCACTCGCTAATGTCCCTCCCGTGTGCACATTTATTAAAACACAGCTTGCAAATAGAGTTCACATTAAAATAGACTGTCCAGATAAGAGGATGAATAGATATTTATTTTGCAACGATGTCCAGAAAGGCATCTGAACATATAGGGCGTTGCACTATATTGGAGACATATTCAATATAAAGATGAAGCTAAGCACTAGTAAACAAGATTTACACTAAGTATCTGCTACTTCTGAGACGGAATATGAAAATAAACTGTTGGATGCGTTTAGCAAGATTTCCTTCATACGTTACAAATATATATTTTAAAAAACAGGCAGAGAGAATGCAATATCTGCATAACCTTAAAATCGATTATACCCCGTCAGAACATGCTTTAAAACAATTTAATTAGCGGGTGCTGTGTAATATTTTATTCCTGCAAACACTACATTGCCGAGAATCTATGGCCTTATACACTGGCCAATTCATGAGAGGAAATATTCTGACCTGCAATTACAGACAACTATCAGGAGAAAAGAACACCATGATTTGACGCCAAGAGCGAGTTAATGAATTTACGTATCTGTTCTTTAAAGAGTAAAGCCCCGTATATAGCTCACTAGTTGATGGATGTCCATTAATACACCTGCATTCACATTTCAGCCTTAAGGAGACAAACAAAGATTTAGTGCAGAACACTACAGTTTTGCCAAGTCCTTTCAAAACATCAGTACACTTCAAGTTACACCAAAAAGCCAGAGATTCTTCTTGATTTCCAAATGTATAGGTGGCTTGGGTGGTTTTCTGCCAGCAGCCGCCTACCTTTAGTTGGTGTGTACATATATACATGTATATATAGCCAAGAGACGGATTAATTAGCCGGGTTTGAGCTGAAGGAGGCTGCAGTGACGAGACCAGTGGCGATTGGCCGCCCGCCTGCCTGGCCCTGCCTTTATAATTTCCACACGAGAGCATCTGGGCTCTTATACTAACCAACAGCCAGCTTCTCCTTACACACATACACACACACACACCGACACCCTGCACTTTTTCCACCATCTGATTAACAACCCTGCACCCACACAGTGATTTCTACAGGAAAACATAAATACATACGAAGAGGGTTTATTATTTTGACTACTGGAAGCCTTGCTGTGTCTCAGTTCAACTTTTGTTTTTATTGCTGCTGGGGAAGTGCCGATCTCAATGCTTTGCTCTCACTCAATGATCCTTTAAAAAAAAAGAAAGGAAAGAAAAATATCGCTCCCCCCTTGGAGGCGGCTGATCTCAAAAGGCAGGAAGAGAGCATCTGAGCAGCAGTTGCCACCGCGTATTTTGAAAGACATTTGTTACGTTTCAGAGCGCTGCAGCCTGTTTCCCCTCTGAAGTTGGCTCCAGCCTTAGCAGCCGCATTGGATCCCACAGCTTATTGCGAGACTCCGGTATACAATCCGGATCTCTGCCCCAATATGATCGCGGCCCAGGCCAAGCTGGTGTATCATCTGAATAAATACTACAACGAGAAATGCCAAGCCAGGAAAGCCGCCATCGCCAAAACTATCCGAGAAGTCTGCAAAGTGGTTTCGGACGTACTAAAGGAAGTGGAGGTGCAGGAGCCTCGTTTCATCAGCTCTTTGAACGAGATGGACAACCGCTATGAGGGCTTGGAGGTCATTTCTCCCACAGAGTTTGAAGTGGTCCTTTATCTGAACCAAATGGGAGTTTTCAACTTTGTGGACGACGGCTCTTTGCCGGGCTGCGCCGTGTTAAAGTTAAGCGATGGGCGCAAGAGGAGCATGTCCCTTTGGGTGGAGTTCATCACGGCATCCGGTTACCTTTCTGCTCGCAAAATCCGGTCCAGATTTCAGACTCTGGTGGCCCAAGCCGTGGATAAATGCAGTTACCGAGATGTGGTAAAGATGGTGGCTGACACGAGTGAAGTGAAACTGAGAATCAGAGATAGATATGTCGTGCAGATCACTCCGGCTTTTAAATGCACAGGGATCTGGCCAAGGAGTGCTGCCCACTGGCCACTTCCCCACATCCCCTGGCCGGGACCCAACAGGGTAGCAGAGGTCAAAGCTGAAGGATTCAACCTTTTATCCAAGGAGTGTCACTCTCTAGCAGGCAAGCAGAGTTCAGCCGAGAGCGATGCCTGGGTGTTGCAGTTCGCAGAAGCGGAGAACAGACTGCAGATGGGCGGCTGCAGAAAGAAATGCCTCTCTATCCTCAAAACCTTACGGGATCGTCATCTGGAACTGCCGGGACAACCCCTGAATAATTATCACATGAAGACTCTGGTTTCATACGAGTGTGAAAAGCATCCCCGTGAATCGGACTGGGACGAGTCTTGCCTGGGCGACCGGCTCAACGGGATTTTACTGCAACTCATCTCCTGCCTTCAGTGCAGGAGGTGCCCACATTACTTCTTGCCCAACTTAGACCTGTTTCAGGGAAAACCTCATTCAGCCCTGGAAAATGCAGCCAAACAAACTTGGCGACTGGCTAGGGAAATACTCACCAACCCGAAAAGTTTGGAAAAACTTTAGAGGACAATTAAAATATGGGCCTAACCGATTAGTCTTCTGATTTTCAGATAAAGTTTAAACTTCCTGTTCGAAAAGTCAAATATTTCCACTTGAGAATGCTAATAATATTCTCTTTAAAAGGAATATTGCTTAGGCTCTTCACACACACAGACACACACACTCACAACAACAAACACTATGACATGTCTTCATCACAGTTTTGAAATCCCCCCTGAAAAATATATCTTAACACCCGGAAACAAATTCGGCTGTAATTTAACATGATTGTGACCATTCTGCCTAGAAACGGCACCAATGGATTATAACAAAACCCGGTATTTTTATGTAAATCCCTCTGTGAGTAAAAGCTATTTGGATATGCCATCTGAACAAAACCCTAATGTACATTTTAATTTGTATCAAATATTGTGATCTCACATTGTCTTTGAAATTGTGGATGTTGGTGTTTTGTGATTTGGTGAACAGAAGTTAAATTGCCATTTCGGATACTTCAGGACATTTTCTGCTAAAGAAGATACCATTTAAAAAGGTAGATTTTATCATGGTACTTTTGTTAATTGTCTTTTGAAGTGTCTGAACTTAAAAGTTTACATTTTTCGTTTCATATATATTGCTTGTTCTATTTCTAACATTCCATAAATATACTTGAAATGTTATTTAAATATATTCAAAAGAAATTTGGATTCTGCTTATATAATAACGCTTGAATATTGGAATTATATATTTGAAAAATGCACTTGAAATACACTGGATAATGACTTTTTGTGATTTAGATTTTAATTTCTGTTGCTGATTTTATTTAATTACAAGCTAATAAATGAAGTAAAATAAATATTGTTAAGCGTTTCAAAACTGCATCAAGTTTTCTATTTGAAAATCAGGCCAATGTAATGTTTTGCAAATCATAAAGGAGCAGCCCTTTTCCTACTGACTAGTTTTGTAGGAGAAAAAAATGTTGGTGTATCATATGCACCACAATTTCGTGTGGTAATTAACAGAGCAACACTTTCTACAGGCATCAGAAAATAAATTTACTTTTGAAAGATTCACTGTACTGTACTAGGTTAATGTTTCTGCATGGTTTTGAACAATACTGAGGAAACAAAACAGCACTGAAGCAAAGGCTTCTGAAAGAGCAATGAGTCTGATTCCTGACAAAAATCAATATTTTGGAGCAAGTAGTAATAAAGAAGAAAGCAAAATTTACAGGTGAAGGGGTCAAGCCAGTAGCAATAAAATGAAGAACAATATAACTTCCGACCTACAAATCCACTATGGATGTAACAAGATTGCAAGTTGCATCTGTAGAAATCAACTCCCTGTGTTCAGAGGGTATTCAGAGAGAATAGCATGTGCACACCCATAAAACTGTAAGTGATCACAAATTGTCTGTTCATATTTCAGCATATGATTATTCAGAACGTATATTTCCTTAAAGTATTTTAAGATTAAAATACAAAATAATATACACCAAAAATAGCAACGTATATAATTTACTTAGTATTTTAATAGTCAACAAGTGCTGAACTAGGCAAATTGCCGATATAATGTCCAGTTGTAAGAACTCATAGTGGGTAAGTATTAGTGAAACCATTACAATGGCTATTGTGCAAGAATCTTTTTTTATTTAGTCCTACGAGCACGTTCCTCAATGTCAGAAATTATTCCTCAATAGAAAACCCACTTTATTAAAACACGTTTTCAAAAGTGATAATTGCATTTTTTAAAAGTTATCATTGGAAATCATTTACAGTGAAGGTCTTTTTGAAAGAAACAATATTGGAGTGACTTTAAAAGTATCTCCTGTTTTTTCTCCCCTACTTATGAAACTTGTAAAATTGTTTTGTGAATGTATAGAGAATAAAAAGCAATAATAAGTATAAACTACATGTCAGAAAGGTGACCTATAGATCTCTATAACAATCCCCCACCACATGTATGCTCGACTTTAAAAAAAAAATCGGATTCAAATTTTTATTCTCAACGCTAATACAGGTCAAATATATGTAAATCGTTCTTAAACTGATTGGATCTACTTCTCTTGCAGATGTCAACGTGTTTCGTAATATTAAACAATGCAAAAAATTAGATATTTCCCAAGAATCAGCTCTTGTGCTCAGGCCCACGATAGCCATTTTCTTTTTCAGAAAGAGACTATTAATTTCAGTATTTGAACAGATAACATTTATTAAAACATGCAGCATTTTCCTATTTGGAAACTAACGTTCTTGAAATAAAGGGATTCTATAAAATCCACTGCAAGAGAAAAGCCCATCACTGTGTCTTAGGGGACCGCAGTCTGGGACCGCTGTTACCTCAAGGGATTTCAGAGCAATTGGCTTAACTGCTAAATCTGCCCATGTTCATACAAAGGCATTCAGAGAAAGATTGTTAAAAATGTGCACGCTGTAAGTAATAGAGGATTTGCCGTCATTAATACATTTCGCTTTTTAATAAAACACAGTAAAAGCCCACAGGAGTAAGAGGCGTTTGGGGGGAGGAGGGGACCTTCCGCACCCTAGGATGTGCGTTCCGATTATGTTCTCCGGGCAGTGTTTAACATACAAATCGCGTTCAGACAATGCAGACTGTAAACACACCCAGCCCACGAGGTAACGCACTCTACTCACTTTGGGGTCAATCTTCTTGAAGGCCGGATCATCCTCATCCACCTCGAAGTAGATTTCCGTGGTGGTGATGGAGAGGGTACCTTTGGCCACTACAACAGGGGCGATGAGCTGTGCCGGCGTGCTGAGAACCACCGGGCCTGCAAGACAAGGGCAGGGGCGTCAGGCCGTAGCAACTCCTGCCGGCCCTCCCCCATTCCTTACTGAATGCAGGCACCCAACAATCCGCCTAATAAAGTCCATTTGTAAGTTGCTTTATGTCTTTCTTGCCAGTGCTCACCACTCTGCTCTCTCCTGAATAGTCTGACAAGAGTTTGTGAGCGGTAGGGTGAGACTCCGAGATGAATCAATGACCAAAATTCAGGGGGGGGGGGGGGGCTAGAATGAAAAATTACTGCCCTCAGAAGCGGGTTCCTTCTCCTTTCGTGACCCTCTTATTCCTGATTAACGCTAACACTGTTTAGATACAGGAGGTTGCAAGTAGCAGTGACACGTTACATATAGTTCTCAATAAACAGGGTCAGCCGGCATCCGAAGAAGTGGGTTGTAGCCCACGAAAGCTTATGCTCTAATAAATTTGTTAGTCTCTAAGGTGCCACAAGTACTCCTGTTCTTTTTCCAAAAGCTCATAGTTTCCACAAAGTCTGGGGATTCATCTCTAGCTATCTGCGCTTCCCTGGGAAAAGCAAATACAGCCGTCTGTACTTTTATAGAAGCCGAAAACATTCCCTTTCATTAGTGTTAACTCCGAGTCTACAGCTTAAATCAGAAGACATCACAAAAGAAAAACAAATAGCCACACGTGATGTCTCCAAAAGCAGCACCCAACCTTTTATACCTTTCCAGCAAGATTTTTATTTCAGTGTCTCATCGCTAAGAACTTTAAAAATAATGTTACCAAAACATTTTACACAAAATATAATTCTTTGCGAGCCGTGTGTGTATTGAGGAATGGGGGTGGGGTAATTTGTAGTCTAACTGCCAGCCTTTACGGCGCACTGTGGGAGGTTTTAATTTTAGGAAATCATTTCTGCTTTAATACAAAGAGGCACTGATCTTTAATCCGAATTCAGTAAATCTGCCGTTAAACTGCTAATGTGATTTAGGAAGCTCACTTATTTTAAACAAAAATAGATTAAATATAAAATTCTCTTACAGTCCACAACTAACTTGCAGGGGAAATCTATATCTAGACACATGAGGTATAAGTAATAAAGGCTTACTCGACATTTTGGAAACTCAGTGAAACCAAGATATTTTATAGATGCCCCCCTTTAAAAGCTATTCATTTCAATGTAAAAAAAGAAAAAAAAAGATCCTGGTCATATTTATGCAGTTAAAATGTTCTGTACAAAAATCGGGATAGCGTGCAAGTGACCACCAGCCTGCTGTATTTCCAGTTGCAATCCCCAGGCACTGACTAGACTCGCTGGGGTGAGTGGTGTTTCGGCACACAGGCACGGACAGGACAAGCTTTGGGCTTGCTCTGCACAACAGCACCAAGGCTAACAGGCACCGGTAAAATCTTCTCCTCCTTCCACAATATTTGACATACACACACACTTACAATCAGATGGTGTAGGCAACACTTCACATTACTCATTTAGCCCAACTTAGTCGTGTATCAACGCATCTGTCAGGTGAAACACCCAATTTGAGACTGTATTGCACAATGTATTGTCATTTCCTTTGCAAAATAAACGAAGGGGAAGGCACGGATTATTGTGTGTACAAGAGGGAATCTAAAACTCACTGTTTCACTGACAGCTTTCAGCAGCCCAGTGTGGCAGGCTAGATAATATTGATACAAACTCTAGTTTTCCTTCATTTTATTGTTTTCTATCTCCTAATAAACCAGTGTAGCCTCTTGACTCCAGTCAGCTGATGTGAATCACATGCCGCGGGTTTGCTTTGCTCCTGTCCCCTTTTAGCCTCCATCTTCTCTCCGTTATTCTGCTGTGGGAGCCGAGCCCAGCCGAGCCGCGCCGCGCCGCGCCGCTAGGAAACCTGGCCTCTCTGCAAAGGGCAGGGTGATCGATCTGCAACGGCGCTTTAAAGGCTCATCAATCTTAATCTAGGTTGCTCAAGTAATTATGCCCGATTCTGTTGTACGATTACAAGTGGATTTGGGTTTCTATTCCCTAGGCTCCTCTTCTTTGTGTTTATAGAAGGAGGATCTATCTATACGGACAGCAGCTCCCTGCCCTGCAGAACCACTTGCCCTGTTAAACAGACCATTCCCACCCCTCTTTTAACCCTTACCCAACAGTACCACCAGGGCAGCCGTGTTGCCCTCCCTACTCATTATGCTATACACACAGCAATGGGTTTACGGGCCTTTGTGCTAAAAGAAAACTGCGTTAAGATGATGCATATTGGAAACAACTTGATATTCTATCATTTTAAGGAGGCGTTATGGGCCTTACTGAATCCCAGAAGGAAGATCATCTGTTTAATCCAATTACCTCTCTTTCCCTGGTGTTATGTGAATAAAATAAAAACAAAGTTACTAGTATTTAATGGTCAAAAGGCCAAAGCCTATAACCAGAAATCTACAAGGACAATAGGAGAACATCGTGAGTAGAATCCTACGGGTACGTGTGTGACTGTGTGAGAGTGTGTGTATATACACACACACACCCGGTGCTACAAGGCTGGAGGGATTCACTTCCAAGACTGTGATTTAACTCAGGGATCAGTGAATTTCAGATTTTTTTTCCAGAGAAAGACTCAGAGCTCCTTAAATGATAAAGTGATTTTGACCAAAAAATAGTGCAGCTGTATTCAAACGACATTCTACATTTGTAGAAACGTAATACAAGTGAGCTATGCAAACACTGTTACGAATAACCGTTATTGTACTTTCTAAGGAAAACGGATAATTTTTATGAAATATTTTTCCTTCCAAAGAGAGGATGAGGGCTTCCTCTGAATAAGGTGTAAGGGATTTCTTATTTTGTTACAGGGAAAATAGATTTTAAAATTCCTGCAGCCGTCTCTCCGCCCTCCCCCTGAAGACGACACAAAATGAAATATTCAGTCTTATTAGTGTGTCATTTTTACACTAGTCCTTTGGAAATCTCCAATTACAACTTCCAATTCCATAGCACGTTTAAGGAGCACTGAGTCTTTTTGTTGTAGCCTTCAGGGAGCAAACCAGCCACTGTGAGAATACGAAATTAATCCACTACAGCTATAGAGAGAGAGGATTATGTTTTAATCCCCTTTGGGACAGCCTCTGGATTTTAAGGATCCGATATTAAAATGTTTACATAAGGCATAATCAAAATACTGCAGATTTTCCATATGGTACCCAGTTATCTGGAAGCTTTGGGTTTTTCCAAAACACAGCCGACCATCTAGTGAAACAATAGCGCGACACACCTGACGCCACAGTTTGATGGGCTCATTCGGTTTTGGAGAGATAACGAGTTACAGCTACCAATCGAACCCAGTAACAACCTTTGGGATTGGAGAACTGTGCTTTTGGTTTGGAAGCAAATATTCATTTCAAGCATAGTCATAGTAATAAAAACGCGCATAGTAATGAACCCTCCCAGGATATACCAGTATGATATGTGGGGCATTAGGAAGCAGTTACAAAAGTGAATATTGCTAAATCTGCTCCTAATGCATCTTAAACTGCAACTAAAAATACGATGCTCACACCTGAGCTCTAGAAAGACGGGAACTGTTTTCCTGCACTATTTCACTATACAATTTGGGGATTGTTTATGGGTTCACAAGCCACCACGCCCTGTTACCGCTAGAAAGGCAGAAAAAAAAAAAGAACAGTGGAAACGCTTGTCAGGAATTTGGATGCTTAAAAGGACGGAGAATATCTTTTCGAGTATAATTTAGTTGAACATTTCCAACCATTTTGAAGTAGACCGGGGGCCAACAGTGTAACGGAGGAAACGCAACGAACACTTACAGTTAAGTATTCACTTTAGATCCACAGGTTTTTTAATCGGCTCACGTGTAGGACTTTCCGCCTTGTGTGTCCCCTGTGGTAGGCACGTGTGATTTACATTTCTAAAACAAACGATGTAGCGAATATACACTTTTAAAAAGTAATATTTGTTTTTCAAAAGTAAATACTTGTGGGATTGGGCGGTTCCACTGAAAACGCAGAAATCAGTATCTGTTTTTTCCCTTCGTTAACATTTTGATATACAGGGAGTTGGTTTCTTGTATTATAAGGCTAGCAAAGAAGGTCAATGCAAATGAAAAGTTTTACGAGCTGAGGGATAGCTTACAATTTACAAAAACAACATCGATAAAATTACTTCTCTGGAATCTGGCCTTTTATGAAAGCCCAACAAGAGTAACATTCTGAAATATTATCTTAAAGATTTCAGCTTTCTCAGAAGTGCTTTGAGGTGGTTGTTTTTAATGGTAAGAGCTAAAGAGAAGTTGGTGTTTACATTGCAGGTGTATTTGCTAAAACGAGAACGCTCAATAATTCCTAGTGGAAATATGTTTTCAGTGCACCTGTTGGATTATGAAAAAATATTTTCATAGCTGGCACAGTTTTATAATATTAACCTCAACAGGAACATTTGAGAGTTGAAAACAGTAGATAAAGGAAATTTAATTTGTATGTGGGTGATTTAAATGGAAAATCTGGTTTTGTATAACTTCAAAAAGCACGCCTTTTTGTATGCCATTTTAATTTGATGACCTGGTATTACATACATAGTATACAATAAAAAAAAGTTCTGGTAACAACAACAAGAGACCGATTTTATACATATGAAGTAGATTTTGCTATTTTAAAATAAAAATCCAACCTGGTTTTTTTTAAACGTTGTGTTCAGTTGAAAGATGGCATCAGAAACTGTCATTTATCTGAACTGTAAATCTACTATGCTTTTCATCATTTAAGTTCTTTAAATCTAAATGTGCACTTGATCTAAACCTCTCAGAAATTAACTAAAATGTCTAAATACAAATAATAATAATAATTCATGCCTTAATTGTAAAGAGCAAGTAGAGCAAATTGACAACGTCACAATTTAAAATAATTCTAAAACTAGAGATCTGAAATGGGTTCACACTTTAAAATAACTGGTTTAAAATGTGCACTGAAACTTTTTTTTTTAATTTAAAAAGTAAAAAATCCAAACCCAACTATATA